TAAATCTGATTCTGATGAAGTCAGTGCCTCACCAGCCATGAACCTCACAGCACGTCACTGCATTGGATCCATTTCCAATTGTTAAATATCTTTCCCATTTCAGATAGCGTTTCAGACCAGTACTTCTGTAGTTTACAACATGACCAAAGGCAATGAGTTGAGATACCTATTTCAGTTTTACATTTGAGAAAACGAGCCGTTAAATGCCTGCGATTAGGGGATATATGTATTCTATGTATAATTGTAAATTGGGATGCTTTTGTTCAAAGACATATAAATATCTAATCGTATTTTCTATTTTCTGTTAGTTCTGTAGTTGTTTTAACTTTTCTAATGCAGGACAAGGCTGTTAATCAGAGAGTGAATAGTCTGGGAAAATAGCTTGTGTTCAGGTCTTCAAACTTTTGATCTTAAATAATAATCTATACTACTATATACTATAACAACAACAATTTCATTTAGTTTTTTTTTTTATAGAAATGCTGAGATAGGCCACAGTTTTCTTACACCCCTTAAAATCAAGAAGGCCTCATGACCCCCTGTGAAGCTTTGGTGACCCCTAGTGGTGTCCCGACCTCCAGGTTGGGAACCACTGGATTAATCCACATTTAGTGAATATTTGGGACAGCAGGATGTAGTGTACCTACTGAGTATACCTACTTATTTGTCAGTCACCATCGGGTATAAACACTTCTAAATTCTCTCTGATGTGCATCATTTAGTAGGGTTCTGCGAACTGAATTTTGTCATAGGATGGCAAAGGCACAACATAGTTGTCCAGTTTTCATGAGTTGATGGAGTAAGGAATAAGGAATACTTCTTTCATCATGGATTCATCCTCTTGGCACCATGAATATCTGTACCAAATTTCTAAATGATGATATTATATTTCTTAATGTAATATACTTTATTTGGTAAATGTATACCGTAAGTTTTATATTAACAGTGTGAAAAATAAGCAAGTGTAAGCATCCTGATTCAAATGGCAGGCTTAACTCATCTCCATGTCAGTGTCTCAGGCCAGACAGACAATCTGGAGCATTTAAGACTTTATAACACATGTCTCCTCTCTTTAAATTATGATTTCATCTGGGGGCAGGGGGAAGCAGACAGAAGAGTTAGCACCAGTCACAGACAGAGAGAATACATTATGCTTTAAGCCTAGTATTAATACCTTGTTCTTTTCCCCTTGATGGGGGAGCAGAGGCCTGGCTGGAACGGTAGTGATGCAGAGGCTCCACTCCGCCATACCTGAGGAGCCATTGATCACTGACAAAAGAACAGAAATACACTGGGGCTTTTCATGATGCCTGTATTTCATCACATATTTCAATGTACAGAAAAGCCATTTACACGTATCATCTTGATAGCCATGTCCACAGCAAAAACAGAGTAAAGATACAGTCTGTCTTTTGTACCTATTCCACCCCCATTTATTTCCCTTTCACTATCCAACTTGCAATAATTACATTTCATTTTAATACACTCTCAAATCATAATAAAACAAGTTGCAACAATGTGCAGAGAGGATTCTTCTTAGACAGAGAGTGAATTCACCGCCTGCTGGCACTGACTTTAATAACATCCCGTTTGAACACCCATCTTTTCTTGACACAAGCCTGGTGTGGGAGATAGAGAACACAGCGAGGTGTTGGAAAAAGATCACATCTCTTCCATTCTCACTGTGCTTTTTCTCTCTCAGGCTTGTGCTTGCTGAGTATGGCAGTCTGTAAGTTTCAATCTTCTGTTCAGCAGATAGAAAGGAGACAATGTTTTCTCACTGTCTTGCAGGGACGTCAAATTCACTGCTACAACACAAGCGAAACATGTTTTCGTCTTGTCCGCGAGGTCGACAATGACAACAGACGCGCAGAGAAAGTCATGGAAGACATGAAGAAATTGTTGTATGATTGCACCTTTGATGACTTGAAAAGATTTGCTCTTGAATGCAAGCAAAAAGAAAGATGGGTTGGCAGCAGCCACATGAATGCTAATAATTTTAGCAGCTTTTGGTTTTTGTGAAGCAGCATGATATTTTCACCACAAGTAATAGTTTTCTAGCTAATCCTGCTGAATGTGGGTCTTTAATTTGTGATACTTTAACATTAAGATGTATGAAGCTCGAGGATACAACGGTGGATATATTAGTAATTTGTACCGTTGAATTATCCTTGAGTTTCTATTAAAGGAAAACAAAGGTGTATTATATCTAGGCTTTCAGTTCTGGTCAACATAACTGTGAAGATAAGTGCTTTTTGGACTACAAAAGGTGTCAGTACAACACTAACCACAACACAAGCCCAACCATTTTAACTAGGACATTTTCTTAGCGTTAAAGGTGGGGTCAGCCAGTACAAAAAAAATCCAGTGTTACACAGTCTCACCAGGAGGTGGCAGTATGCATTAAGACATATAGATGGACAAAAATCAGAAGGACAGGTAGCTAGAAACACAATCAATCGGATGATCAGGCGAGTTGTAAATTACAGCAAGCTGGCCAAAGTTTAAGCAGGAAGTCATCTGTTTACAACTGAGAGTTTGGGTAATTATTTCATTGTTATTTTTGCTTCCAAATTAAGGCTAAATATTGGAAATTTACAACCTGTCTGATTATTTGACTGCATGTGTTTCTTGCCCCATCGGACTTGCATCAAGCTTACTGTTTTCTCAGTGTAGTAGTTATGAGTTATCATTACCAATAGACCTACAGAAATAAAAGCCACTTTGTAATACACAGTTATTTTTACTTTGTCTTTGCTTATTGCTCAGTTAAGTGCACAAGTACCACTTTAACGCAGCGCAAAACAGAATTAGCATTTTTGTTCGTCTCTAAGTCAGTGGGTTTTTTGAATGGGTTTATGGATAGATGCCTTAAATAAGGTCTGTGGTTAACACAAGCTGAAGAGATTTTTACTCCACCTGTGAACTTTGTCGCTTTAATGTGTCTTAAAAGGGGCGCCCAGTTAGCTCAGTCGGTAGAGCTGGCGACCCATGTAGGGAGTTGCTGCAGCGGGCCAAGGTTCGAATCTGACCTTGTTGCCCTTTGCTAACCAATAAAGGCAATAAAAGGCCAAAAAAAAAAAGTGTCTTAAAAAATGAAGTTGTCAGTGACATTAAACATCAGCACACGTTAGTGGTGGTGAAGTTGAAATTATGTGACCATTGTGTAGATCATTTACAGCCTAAAGTTAGCTTTTAACTACTGATCATTCTATTTACACTCCAAAAATCAAGATTATCTTGCTGAATTTTTGCTGAATTTTTGTCAAAGGAACCAGGGCGATGCTGACATCATCCCTGCAGCACTCTATAAAAAAAAGTTTAAGACATGGATCTGATCTTATCTAATTGAACAGCTTGGGTTTAATACCGTTTTGTATTGATTTTGGACTGAAATGAATATACTTTGGATTTTGCCTGTTAAACACAACTTGTAATCTCTAACATCCCTTAAATTTGATGTCAAATTGTTATGCTCTGTTGTTTATTTTTATGAGGATTTGTTAAAAAATCTTACCCCTAAAACCTGACCGGGTATATATAAACTTCAAGTAAACCACTACCAAGCCCATAAACAAACAAAAAGCATCAGTGAGAAGACAGCTTCTGCTGGTGTTCTCACAGGTATGGACATGTATTAGATTACTTTATGGCACAAAACAGTACATGGCGCTGTTCTTCCAGTGCAATCAGAGAAAAATGTTTAAAGATAGTGCAAAGGCAAATGACAAAACCATAAAAAAAATATTTTGTCCTGTTCAGAAAACTTTATCATAACGTCTTCATTTTATCTGGTTAGCTCACCTGGTTAATACATAGTGGCTGATATCAAAGGTTGTCGATTATATGTAGTCTTCTTGCTCTGGTACGAACATTGCTTTTTTCAACAGGAAACAACAGTCTATAAGAAATGTGGTTTTAATTTGAAATCTAGCACGGATGGATCAGATCGGACTCTTTCATGCATTATAAAAGGACCAGTGTGTAGGATTTAGTGACATCTAGTGGTGAAGTTGCAGATCGCAACCAACTGAAACACCTCGATTCAACCAAGCAGGTAGTTGTTCTAGGATACTGTAGAAACATGGCGGACTCCATACAAAAATGCCTCATTCTAAGGTAAAGAAAACAATTCTAATTTTCAGGTGATTATACACTAATGAAAACATACCTATGAATATTATCTTCCATTTCGGCCAATAGATCCTTCTAAATGTTACACACTGGACCTTTAAATTTAAAATAACGGACTAAGTTTAATATACAAAAACAGAAAAACAGCGTGACAAAATTCATACTGTAAATGCATATTATAACAATGAACCAATATGTACATTACAATGACAGATTGTACAATATACAAACTTGATACATTTTATAATATAGTAAAATGGCAATTAAATTGCAGCAGGATGCAGTACAATATAAATATTTCCTTTCCAAAGATACAATATTTTTCATTTAACATTTGATAAACAAAATATACAGCATGTTCATGAGGAGTGTATTTCTTTACAACCAAACTAATATCAATGATATGATCTTTAATAGAGTTTGGCCTTCTGTTCCAGATCGTAACCCAGTTACAGTGTTAAAATATCTTTCTATCAATCCATCTATTCCATCCATCCATCCACCTATTCTTCTATGGATCATCCATCCATCCACCTATCCTTCCATGCATCATCCATCCATCCAACCATGCATCCGTATAACTACCCTGATCATCATCTATTCTTCCAGCCACCACCTACCAGTCTACTTATCCATCCATCCATCCATCCATCATCCATTCATTCTTTTTTTACTTGCTTATTATGGTCAGACTGCTGAAACTCTGACTGATCCCAGTTACTTACTGTAGCTTTCTAACACAGTAACTAAGTTTTACATTCTGAGATGTGTTCATTCATCAGGTGAATATTTAGCCTTTTGATATACTTTTGGTTTCAACTTTCCATTTCCAATAAGTTACAGGTAACATAAAAAAGGAGCTGTCATCTAAACTGTTTCAAATAGGAAATGTTTGGGCTCCTTCCTGTGACATGCCATCTATTTTTAAATACAGTGGTGCTATTTCAGATTTCTCAGCGAATAGTTCTGTCAGTAGAAATGCAATACAATGCCGGATAAAAACTGGTGTACAACAATACAGCAGTCATACAGAAAATTGATCTTTACCCCCCAAAATATGCAATATTAGACTAACATTCATGTTTATTTACATTTACTGATATGTCCTCCTGGCCCCTTCCATGAATGAACGTTGAGTGTACAGTGCTATTTTCCTCTCTGAAAAGGTGAAACCACACCGCTGATGTTAGGAAACAGCCCAGGTGCTACCTGCTAAAAAAAAGCATTTCCCTGAAAAATCAATTGCAGCAAAATAGCCAAACAGTTCCCTGACTTTTCCCACCACAGATGGTATTTCACTTTAGAAAAAAAGGAGATGATCTGTCAAAGAAATGCTTTTCAGGCTACCTGGCTTATGATGGCGATGCTCACAAATTACTAACAAATCTTAATATCTCAGTAACAAAAACAGTGGTGTCAGCGCTTCGACATCAAAAGACTCATGAATCTGATAACGCTGTTGCAGAGCTAAACTATTGCTTGGTTTCAGCAAAACAACCCGGCGCTCAGATCCGCAAAGGAATTTCAAGGTTACAATACAATCAATCTGGTCTCTGATTGAGTATGTGTCTGAACACTAGCTAGCCATGAGCCGCTATATGGAAATGGAGATATACATTGGAGACAAATTGGCAGGACATGAATAGATCTGTATGTATGAATTAATACACTATTCTCAATATGATCAAACTCAAAATGGTAAATGCACATTCGGCAGCATTCTTGCAAACTCATCTGGGTTTCTGATTGACCGGGTGGCACCTTTGAGTTATTGTACATGAAGTATTTACATGCACACAAATCAGAAACACAATGCTGAAATGTAAAAATCCCATTATGTAGAGATGAGTCCAAGTAGCATAACATGTCACAGAGATAAATCTGTTTCCTTTACACCACCAGCCCATTCATCTAAAGAAGAGAAGCGCTGCAGTAACGCTTAATTTCCATCAAAAGCTATCTGGCTTCTTCTGTTTACTATTCACTGTGCATGTGTAAAAAATACACTGGAAAACACAAAATGATTGATTTATTTTCTCACATGCATCTTGTGCAGAAATGTATCTGTCATTAGCTGATCAATTCTTTTAGAATTGGGTTTTCTTAATTGTTGCACTTTTTTTAAAGCTGCACCAATCATTATATTTTATATGAACAATGAGTCATGACTGCGTGTGTAAGTAAGTAATGTGTAAGGGGTTGCTCCTAGTGACCAGTGAAATGCTATGTGGACACTTACATGTAGCCATATTAACTTTACAAGACAGTTTCTGCTCCCCATGAAAGTGACAAAGAATAGTGTTATATATTCCTATTTCACCTATACTGTTGTCATGTTTGCAATAGATTCAAATGTTCGACCACAGACACAATTTGTGTTAATTCTTATGGAACATGAAAGGATCTCTAATGAATATATAAGTTTCTGTGCAAAACAAAACATTCTATCTGTATAATACCTGTGAGGATGTAACACAACTTTTTTTCCAGAGTGAACCATATGTAAAATAAGCATTTTTTCCCCTTCAGTGCAGAACAACTGGGTTATAAATTCAAATATGAGAAGGAGATATATCTTAACCTCTTATACATACTTATAATTTATACAGATAATTTGCCAGACTGCAGGGTGAGAGAAGGGGCATGTTGAGATAATACATCTGGTGTAACGTAATGACATTATGTGGGGCTCTACCAGGACGGAGAAAGGCAAGCAAGACAACTTCTAGGTTCTTATGATGGCCACAGCTACTGTGAAGTGTCTGTATTCTGAACCCGAAAAGTCAAAGCAGCTAAAGCGTGTCAGCGGAGGCAGAACCTGGTCTGAAAAGAGTTTTGCTTCAGAGTAGCATAGCAGCAAAACAAGGCACCTTGCCAAAGCCTGCTAACAACCAGCACATGGAATTGCTAATTTATCCCTATCCAAGTCAGAATTTGGATTTAAGTTTTCAGGTGTCCAGCCCAACCACTTGGGAATTGCATTTTCTACAGTATGTAATCTGAACTCATCCAACTTTGGATATGAAGTTCAGTGTCCACATCCATGCGGTCTTCAGTTCTCCACCGAATTTAAAGTCTTATCTGGTTTTCCCACTGCGGCATTCAGGCATGTTAAGGTTCCAGCTTTTTCCAGAAGCTTCATCGAGAACCTTCGATGATTCAGACATGAAAAAAACTGCAGTTGAAAAAAGGATAGCAGGCCATATTTGTAGTACAACATGAAGAACTACAAGTAGAAAACTAATAGTCGTTGAAGTCCAGCTTAGGAAATTACAGTTGAAAAAACACTGTTATCAGTCATTGTTTGCAATCCAACAAAAATGTTTGCAGTCCAACATAATGAACTACAATAGTAAGCCATGTTTATCTGCTGTCCTGAGACATGTCTCCCCATGTACTGGCTTCATTTTCATCCGAGTCAGAGAGTGCTGCTGTACACAGGTCACTGAAGATATCTGGAAAAACAAGAAAGATTAAAGTCAGATTCAACTTTAAATACAATCTTATTATATATTATACAAAACAAGCATGGGGCGATATGTGCAAACTGTGGCATTCAAACACAGCATTTAAAAATAGGAATGCACAGCCTGGGCCGCAGTGCCAATAAAACATAACCAAGCACCAAACAACGCCGCTTTAATAGGAGTGTAAAACAAGGGGACATAATAGTGAGGCGTTCAATATCTGCAACAATATCAGCAAGGAGAGTGCATAAAGTATTATAGGGAAGGCAGACACAAGCAATCAACGAAGACAGGTGAAGAGGGCTTTTTGTAAATGGGCCCCACTTAGCCAAAAGACTGAAGGTCAACTGCTAGAGCGTGGAGTTCTGTCCTCTTCAAGTGTGAAAAAAACAACTCAGAAACAGAAGGAAGAGATAAAAGGAGGGGAAAAGGAGGGCAAGTGAGGAGAAGGGAAGGGATAGTTGTTTTGAAGAGGGGCGGACAGAGCTCCGTAACAAAACAAGCAAGGCCACGACAAACACTTCAAGGGCCAGCCTTCAAGCCGGCATGAAAGGGAGGAGATGGTGGAGAGATGGATCGAGGCCAGAGGGGACATTGAAGCGAGAGAACAGAGAGGGAGAGAAAGAGCCCAGGAGTGGCTGTCCTTTGAGAAAAAGTATTTTGTGGCACCAAACCATGAACTTCAACACAGTATTGGGAAATACAGTCTGTGCTCAAGTTTCAAATAAGGTTCAGATTGATATCAATGGTGTGTGTATTTAGAGCTCTCAGTTTTCTAAAGAGTTGTGAAGTGAGTACTTCTCCCCTCAGTAAATTCCTGTTTTAAAGTTGGAAACTGTTTGGAAAAAGGCTATATGTGTCTGGGCCATGTTCAAGTTAAAACAAGCTATCGAGTTGCTCTTTTACCATACTATAGGGCCACCGGTTTGAATTTTTCCAACTGTGAAATGACCAGTATGCCGTAGCTGATAGCTCTAAATACCCATAGCGGAAGCCACCTTTGCTATGGAGAAGAAGCCAGTGAGAGGTGCAAATCAGAGCTTTATTGTTACAGTTGGAATCAAAACACTGGCGTAGTTGCCAGATTAAGTTAAACTGGCAATTTTTTCATGAGGTTTCTGTAAAACCTAATCTTTAGCTTCAGCTCGCTGTTAGAGCATTCTCGCAGAGCTTGCAGAGTTCTCACAGAGCTCGTAGAGTTCAACGTTGAATAATTAGATGTTTCTTATGACTCCTTGGGAGTTGCACTTTACTACACCATAGGGTACCTTATGTCAACCTTGATGTGTCAAAAATATTTCTTGAGCACACATTTTTTCAAAATGACTAATCAAGACACGTTTCATATACATATATATCCTATGTCACTAAGGTCCTAAATCTTGGCCTCAAAATACTTTTTTCTTCCTACATCCACTCCCAGCATCTATAAATGAGAAATCATGGGAAGAGTGTTAGAGGGAATGTGCTGCAATCAGTGACATCATGCTCTGATTATTCAAAGCTCTTCCATCCCCAGCCGCTCCATCCTTCCATCCAACCTGAATCCTATCCAACAGTCCCTCCCTCTCCCAGAGCAGCGGCCCACCCAATCCCTCCCAATCCCTCCTGGCCCAACTGCCGAATGAGAGAGTGAGGGAGCAAATGACGAAGTAGGAGTCAAGGAGGGGAGGGAGGACTGGGTGGGTGAGTAAGTGTGCTACAGCAAGGCTGCCAGTGGTTAGTCAGAAGTAGCAGTGTTGTTACTTAATGAGTGACCTCCTTCAGATGCTGTTTGAAGTATATTGGACGGGACCAGCCCCGTCTCCTCTGTTAAAAGGTTCTTGACTAGCCTAGAACATGAAACACAATGCAGGGGAGGGTCTTCACTCGCTCACAGGTGGAAAGTAAATACAGTCACACTTTATTCTAAAGGTCCCATGTTACGTTACGTTATTTCTTAGAAAGGCATTGCTATATTGCTATGTAACAGTAACTGTTTAACCAAAGTACCCTTTTTTTAATAACAAAAAATATGAGAAAGGAAGCTCATGATCAAAATGTCAAAACATACCATACTGTACACATTCTATAATAATTCAAGAAGCAAAAATAATCAATGATGGTGAATTCTCAAAAATAGTCTAATATGGAATAAGTATATAAAAAGGTTGTCCCTTTTCTCCTCACCTATAAGTCTTTATCACAGCAGCCACTTTGACATGAAATAGTAGGGTAAACACAGCTGTTTCCAATGATACTAATTAAGGCCCTGTCCCATTCAGTGTAGCAGAGCAGAGCCAACATGCACAATAGCAGCACCCTGACTCAGAATAAACTGAATAGAACAGCACATGAATTAATATCATTGGTAACATAATTAGTATCAAAGTAAATATTTAGTAGCATTGGTGTACTCAAATGGCTGCTGTGAATAAAAAGTTTTTTAATCTATACATTTACTGGACACAAGTACAAACAAAATAGAGGATACTTAAGAAATGTACTGATTTTCAATGGTAGCTGTGAAATGTTACAAATAGCACAAAGTAAATATTTAGTACCATTGGTGTACGTTCAAATGGCTCTGTCTGAAAAGGTCTTTGTAATTATTGACATTTGGACAGCAAGTACAAAACAAATAGAGGAACCTACTCTAAATAATTATGTGTAACTGATCTCAATGATATGCGTGAATTACAATAGCACCAAAGTAAACGTTTCAAGTTGTACATGAAAAAAGATAACATTCTCCTTCTGTATGTTAAAAAATGGCCACAACAATGATTGTGAAAACAGTTAAAAGTGCTCTCCCAGTTACTGCTTACCACAATTCAAAAATGTATCTGAAAAGGCATCAGGTGAACAGATAAACCAACATGCTGGCAGATGTAGGCAAACTAAACAAAACCCTCTCTACAAGAATTGATTTTGTTGTATAAAGTTAACTAATCATAAATGATGCAACAAAAAAATGGCCAACAAAACTCCCAAATAGTCCCAAATCAATCAGTCGATCAGAGAAAGATAAACAATATGCTTAAAGGACCAGCGTGTAGGAATAGTGCAATTTGTATGTAATTGCAGATGCAACTCTGTCGCTCACCTTCTCCTTCCAGAGCCAAAGTAAATTTATGGCGGCCACGAAAACCACAATCACGTCTAAATCTAAGAAAGCCAGGATTGTTTGCTGTTGTTGTTCGCTATTATAAGGAACGACTGTGTTTATACTAAGAAAATTTACCTATGATATTAAATTCAATTCGCCAACAAGATCCTTCCAAAATGTCGCAAACTGGAACAGTTCTTGTTAAAAGTTGTAATAACTGAAGAACAACAAAAACACACTTCCAATTAAGCTTTTGATTGTCACCTCTCTAAAAATAAGCCCTGCAACAGGCTCTTAAACCGAGGAAGACTCTGAAGCACATATCAATGTATGTGACTAAAACACATCAAACCCTCCAAACCCCAAATCCACTGGAACACGGCAGGCTGGAGCTGATCGTGCCGTCCAAGCAATGCTCTAAAATGTCAACCAAGAAGTAGCGTGCGCATTCCCTGACGGAAGCAACCCACTTGAGTTCAAGGCAGGCCACAGATGCAGTATGCAGGGAAAGTCAAGACACAGAAACGGCATTAAGAAATCCGCTAAGTTTTCCCAAATAAGCAGTACCATGTGCAAGGGACTCCAGATGAATTTCTTGCACATGCAAACATTGTTCCGGGTAAGAGTTTTACTCATCTAATTTTTGGGATCAAACTTATCAATAAGGAGGCAAACAAGGTGGGGTAAATTACAGTTATCAGCCTTGATACACTGATACCCTGGATGCATTGCATTGCCAAGAAATATTGTTAAATTGAGACATTCACAAGTTAGCATATCATACATTGATGTCATAAAAATACTTTTTTCAAAACATTCGCAAAATATTTGAAATTAGGTAAATACAGATGCTGGTCATGGAAACAAAACCGTTAATCGTAAGGCAACTAAAAACATGTTGAAGGTAGGTACTACTCTATATAAAAAGGTCAAAATACCCGACCAAAAATACCCCCCAAAATATTTATAAGTTTTTGAAAAATGGCCAAAAACAATCGTTAAATCAACAACCTTTCAATAAGACTATCAATGAAGTTGGGCTTGGGATTCCCATTCTCCCGATTGGTGTGTTGTGGGTTTGTAATCCAAAGCTCTGCAAAACCAATTATTGCCCACATAATAAAAGACGTTTTGTCCAATCTCACCTAAAAACTGACAGAAATCCACCCCATGAAGGGCCCTCATTTTAAACTGTCTAAAAAACAGGTCACAAACATTTCCCTTTTGTTTAAGAAACATAAGGACCAGTTGTTAACTTATTCAACTCTCCAGAAAGAACGTATTCCTCTGGTTGAGGTTGTGAATGGTTAAGTTAGCCACAAGATACTGTGCTTCAGGTTTCTTCCTCGTTCAGGAGGCTGTCAGGTAATTTTAGGAGAGAAATGACATCAAACTTAATGATGGAAGTGTGTTGGTTTTCTTCAGGTATAAGTAACAACTTTACAAGCAAACATTCCCCAGTGCTAACATTTAGGAGGATCTGTGGCAGAAATGAATTAATATTCATAGTAACTTATTCATTAGATATACAAACACAGTGTCTCATAGCCGACAACAACATATTGGCACTAGACCCAAACTGTGACCTGATGAATCATCTAATAAGAAGGTCATTCTCAATTCTCAGGCTGGTATGATTTCATCTCGTGAAAAACAGAAACATAGAGTCTGCACACTGGACAATGCTCCCATGAACATTTGAGTGGAGCTGGGGGTAACTTCTGGGGCTCTAGCCCCAAATGTTTTTTAAATAACTTCAACTTTGGCTCATTTGTCCTCAGCCTCTCTAACTGGAGAGTTATTTCTGGGGAAATATCGTCATCTACACTATCATTGCATGGATTCACATTCATTCTGTGAACTCTACTGCAGCATAGTTTAACAAAAAATGGTTCGAAGATCAGTAATGCTACTTACACCAAATTCCTACCCTATATGTTAGGTAACTTAAAAACGACAGACAATTTTTTCCTCTTTGTTTTTCAGAATGATAAACACAGAGAACAAATGGATACAAAATAGAATGCAGGTTCTGCAGGATAATGTACGGATTTTCAGGCATTCTGTTATCTCAACAGGATTGAAAAAAGTCTGTTTTGCCATTAATTGCAAACAAATCTTGCCAGGGTACCATGCACCCAGACTCCTCTAGGTTTGGGCTAAGCCCTGCATGTTTACAACGTCTGGCTCCACCCTTGGTGTGACATTTCATAATGATTTCACATGAATTTTGGTATTATTTTGTCAACTTTTTGTATGATTTTATCTCTTAATTCTGTCAGCAGCAGCAGCAACTGGCCCAGACTGGAACAAGCTCTGTCCAACCCTGTGTCATCAGCCATGATTATCGAATCATAACTGTAATCTGCCACTTTTTCTAGCTGAGCCACCAGCACGTTTCTACTTTCTGAAAAGTTGACTCCGAGGACGTAGGAAGTCGCTTCAAGACTCTGGCATCACACATCGGAGTGCAGTAATTCCCTCTTTATTCTGCTCATACTGTGACTTAGTGTTGACAGGATGTGGTCGGATGTGCTAATGTGTTCTAAGCCCTTATACAAATACGCCACACACTGCCAACAGCAAGCCCGCAGGGGCTGGGATAGGGACAGTGTGTGTGTTGTGGGTGTGAAATGAAAGCCTAAATCTGGAAAGGTGCAACACGCTCTACATTAGCAAGCATATTACTGCTTGTATTGGAAAAAGTGACTATCAGCAATGTGCACGCACACTTGTCGTGCAAGTTGATTCATACATACAAAAAAAGCAACTAATGCATGCAAACACAAATGAATGAACACACACCCATGCACATGCACACATTAGGGTATACGATCCACACAGCAGCATCATCAGTCACATTGTGTAAAGTTCTATACAGCTGCACATTAACTTTGATCCACCAAAAAAGCTAAAGCAAAAAGGGAAGGACTTATGAATTCTTCATTTTCCATAAGTGTGAGTGAGACCTTTTAGCGGCAAAAACCCATAGATGCAGACGACAGGAGTCGGTTTTAAGGACTGAAATATGCATGAGCTGATGAAAAATGAGTATATTCAAAGCTAGTGGAGCTTTTATCTAGCAGAGTATTAGTCACTTCCAAATGCAGAGAGCATGCATGAGACCAAAACACTCTTTCAGTGGTCGATTCCAGAGGCTTTCTCCATAAAGGCAGTAGCCTCTGTTGCTCTGGCGGCGAAAGGATAGATGGTGGTGGTGCAGTGAATAAAACAGAGATTTATTATTCATCTGAAGCCATTGTGTTTCCAGCCGCTTCTCTTGATTTGGCAATAGACCATTAGTCACACGTTTTGTTGTTGTATCTCCCATTGCTTCATCAGGGTAATGTTATATTGAATGAAATTTTAATTCCAAACGAGCCACACTGAGCCTTTAATCCTTGTAGAGAGAGAACAGGGCAGCAGAGGAGCAGCTGTTGCACTAGTCTCATTTCCTTTTCTCTGGCTTGGTTGATTAATGTGGACCAAAGTCGAGATAGACTTCTAACCAGGGAAGCCATGGTATGGGTAATGATTACAGATAGCAGCAGATGAAGTGGGGGGAGGCTTTCCTTATGCTAAACTACATAATATCATCAACACTGATACAGCTAACATAATCCAACAGAGCAGCTCTGCATCAAATGCTGCCTTTTTGAAGCTTAATGTTCGATTTTTCTTGATACTCTGTCAAAGAGGATGGATTCAACTCAATATCTGGGGCTGAAGTTTATGGCGTTGTTGTATTGTACTGCATTATGTTGTAAGGTCCATCCATCCATTTTCTATATCCGTTTATGCTCTTCAGGGTCGTGGGAGGCTGGAGCCCGGCATGTATTAGGCTAGATGCAGGGTACACTTTGGATGGGTTAGCAGTGTGTTACAGGGTATGAGAACATTTAGAACAATCATATCACTGGCATGTGCGGATACTGTAAGGTACTCACGTTCATTTGTCCAGGTTTATATACAAGGTTGAGAATTATTATTACTAGGTCTGATACAAAACATGAGTTTCAGTATGATATCAAATTATATTTTTTTATGGATCTACTGGGTACCTGGGTACAGATACACAGAGGTACCTTTACAGGCACATAATGGATACATACAGAAGCTTTTAATCTACTATGTAACCACCAAGTATTTTGGGAAACTGGAAGCAAAAATAAGCTCAGGGTTTATTGTAACTACATTGAAACACATTAGCCAGCCTATTAGGGGGTCAGTGGTTCATAATATCTCCAAATAGAGCTAATTTACCAAGAACCAAAACAGACAAAGTAAAAAATACATCCGCACAATGTACTGTGACCTACAAAAACAGTCCTGTGATGACACAGAGGTGTTTTTTCAAATCTATACTTACTGTTGTAGTTGTAGTCAGAGGTAATTAAGTAGCCATTTTGGATTAATGAGGTCCTTCATATATATATTACAATACTGTTTGCACTCTGTAATGTCTTTATAACTTCTCATCAACCCTAAATCCAGCCTCTCTCTGCTCAAACTCTCCATCTGCATCAGCCTTGAACACAGTAACTCATTAGTACATAAGTTATAATTTGAAGAAACAATTATATTGTTTGGTTGGTTTCCTTTCTATTGTTCTGTTATTGCGTTAGACGTATTTATTTATTATATTCTTCTGCATACTTGATGCTGTGTGCATTTAAATGTAAAGCACCATGAGTTTGCTTATCACGTAATAAATAAATAATATTGTCCTGAATGAAAGGTAGTAATAAAGTTTAGCGGAGGATAAAATATAGCCTGTGCAGTGTAGGGGACTATCATTTAAATTCAGGTCATTTATGTTTAGGTTGCTTAAAATGCCTGGAATTATAGTGCCAGAGTAAATAAATGAAAGTCCAATTCCAGCCCTTAATATAGGGGTTGTGAGAAACAGAAAAAGAGACTGGGTTTGCTTCGATTGCACTTTTATCTAGAATGTAAACACAGTTTGACACCCTGAGGAAAGTGACATTATTGCCCCCAGCTGAGCCTGACAGACAAGAATCCTTCTGTAATTCTTCCCCAAACAGCTTGACTGATCTTTATAGATTGCGTTGGGGCAATGGTTGGGTTCGGGTCTGTCCATCCAAACAAATTTCCCATTCATTTACATGTTATGTTTAATTTAAGTTATAATCATCTACATATATAAAAATGGATGGCATGACAGATCTCCAAAAGTAAAGCCAAATCATCTCGATGGTCCCCTAGTGGTTGACTGCAGCATAGGTCATAAAGCCTGTTTTGCCTAATATTTAAGTGGATGAAAAAGATCAACTAATTTTATCATTAGTGAAAACCAAAAGAAACAATGTTACTGCTATGTCACAACTGTATAGAGCCCCTAGGTAAAAAGAAATATTTAAGAAAATTTAATAAAAAAAGGAAAACCCAATCGCACTTCCGGGTCACTGTTTGGGAAACAGCAAATCCTGTGCAATGGAAAAGTTATTTGGCCTCAAATATAAAGAAATTAGGTCTGTGCTCAGTTCTAGGCATGGTTGTCAAATAAGTAAAAGACAGCTGAAGAGGATGCTTCATGCAAGGGGATATTCTTGACAGAAAACATACTCAAGTCTAGCTAATTGATTTCTCTATTTTGGCATACATCCAGCAAGTGTCATATTGCAACATTGACCAGCCACTGTGCAGATGGTTTGACATTGAAAATTCATCTTGAATCAGGCATACGGCTCTGAATCTAATCACAGTTGTAAGGACAGATAAACAGAGTAAGGGTAGACAATAAAAAGATTATGAAAACATGTTGCTGTGGGTGTCAAAAAGCCTCAATGTCACAATTTACGCTGGTGTTGCTAGCATTTGTGAATTTCAATTAAAGCTCTGTGGAAATGTGATGGCGCAGAGCCTGCTGCAATCTACAGCATCATTTTAGTGTAAAATGATGCATGAATAAAATGACACAATGATGCATTTTTTTCAATGAACTGATGGCTGGATGATTAGTGCATTCTACATAGGAGGGTGGAAGGTAGCACACAATGCTATTAGGGTCATTTGAGCAGGTTTCTAGTGAAACATTGACACCAATATGGCCCATTGAGCTGTCCCTCAGCAGAAAATGACCATAACACAGCTGCAGGTGGGTGATAGGGCTGCTGATGAATGCCAATGAGTCAGTGATTGCCTCACCAGGTGCTGACTTTTAAAACTTGTCGCCTGTACTTTCTTTTGAAATAACAGCTCAACCACTTACCAGCCACCTACCCTGACAGCGATTACAATTCATCTACTGGCATTTTAGTTGCCCCACAAAAGACTATTTTGCTCTGAGTGACAGATCAGTTTGCAGTGTTTTGCATGATGATGCACCCTCATACGAAGTGTAAACTGTCTTGACGTTCAATAGTGAGCTGTGAGGGAAATCTTAGATGCATGCAGTTGCCCAACTGTTGTTCCAGCTGTTTCAAACCAATGCCAAGAGTAAACTCAAGTTATATTTTCTGCGCATGTATAGCCATGAGCGTCAATTTTTGTAACATGCCCATGTATAAAAAGTTGCTCACAGATGTTTTTGCAGATGTCCACATGCAGCCCGGATTTAAGACCCTGCAGACTTTAAGCGTGCATTGTGCAGTGGGTTTTGTTTTTAAGGCTGCAGGGTTTGATTCTGAATATCTGTACACACAACTGTGGCTGGTACTTAGCCATTTTGTACTTATTATTTGTGTAGCCATGATACAATATGTAATTTGATTGAATGATTTACAGTTTTAATGATTTACAGCGTCTCCGACTAGGACTCTGACTCAGGGGAGGACGAAAACACGGTGGGTTCAGGCAGGAATAGGAGAGGCATGGAGTGAGTTTGTAAGTAACTGTTAACGTTATAGATCATCCACAGTATTGTTAAGTCCGCCAGTATTAGTCTTTGTGAGGCTGGAAGTTATTGTTTTGATTTGAACAAGACTTGTGTGATGTTATTAATAAATATCCTCCCGGGGATTAATAAAGTATTATTGTTAAGGCTTTTTCTGTTATCATTTAACAGGCGGCTGTTGAACAACAACAAAAAAAACAAATTAATATCATAAATGTGCAACAACTAAGAAAATCTTTAGTCAGGAGCCGCCTAATTATAATTATAATCAATTATATAATGGAATCAAAAAAGCTGTATGTCTACACTGCAAATGCAGGTCTAAAATAGCGGTTGCTAGTACTTTATGTGCACTACTACTATTACTTTTCAAGTGGTCATCATACAACTCTTCAACTGGATGATTTTGGGAAATTTGGGGATTTGTAGATGCTACAGCAGATGTTATACTACCTGAAAACTGCCTTTGCCTGCCGCTTACAACTGATGTCTGCCTACACTCATTCTATTTTCATAAGGTAAATGAGACACTACCCTCAGCCAATTATAAGAATCAACTGTGCAGATATTAACAAGCAGAGTTTTCAGCAATGAAATGCTGAGTATACAGAGCCTAAAGAGCAAATCTAAAAGTAGGCAGAAAACATAATGAAAAAAATCATGTAACAAGCAAACTATGGTCCTTTTGTTGCTATGGAGAATGTGCTTCAACAATAGAAGTCTTCTGCAATGAATGCTGAGCCAAAAATATAAACTCCTTAGGAGAACTAAAAAAAAAACAAAAAAACATTGCACAAATAAGAGTGGTAACAGAGAACTTGCATGGCAATTATAGTTTATTGAGGGCACACAGTGGGAATGAGATGCTTAACACAAGTGCCCTAAATAAAGTATAATGCAATGTCAGTTTAGTTTTTGCCTCATTTGTGAGACGCTTGCTCTTGTTGTACTGGGAACAAAGTGGGAAGTTTATGTTCTCGCACCTTTATTTAGGAACAGGACGTGTTTGAACTGGCAGATGGGAACCTGTTTAGCCAAAGACTTCAAATATAGTGATGAATCAGAGGGGGCTGCAACCAAACCGGGGAAACAATGAGCGGGCAGGAACAAGCTGACTGACTTAACACAGTACCATGGTGGAGCCAACTGGAACTCACCAGTGTCCGTTCTCTGCTTCCTCCAGAAACTGGACTAGGTCGCCCGTCTCCAGAGATAAGTCTCGGGTTTCGTTGGAATCATAGGTCAGCTGCACCCGGAAACGACTGGCATCACCCTGCAGGAAGAAACCACAGAGTCAAACTCTGTATGTAGGCAGTTCCATTGTGGATGTGGTTCCAGGTTGGAAAAACGCACAGATTCACTAAACACTGGCACTAACAAATATGGTCCTTTAAGTGAATCCTGGTTAACATGTATTGCCATTACTCTGCCAAATATAATTTGTTAGAAAAACATGCACTGCTCTAACACCACTCTATGATTGCAAATAGACTGTGTTTGTACTCAAACAAGACCAAGAGAGTAGTGACTATCCTCTGGTTAAACAATCTACTGTAGCTGGTTACGTCACATTCATTTCAGTGGTTAGAACCTCCCTCCTTTTGTACGTACAATATCATATTAATATATTAGCCTTAACAATATCATGGCTCATTATTGAGACCTCCGGTATTAAAACATAAGATGTGGAAAAGTGTCAGACACATGTTTCATCAAAATGTAGTGTTTTCTGCTGCTCAACTCATCATTAGGTTGTTGCTACAGGTCGTTAACATTAGTTAGGTTGCCAATCAAAGTCTAGGGTTTTGAAGTATTTGAGTTATGTTACATCAATCAAATAAAAAGATATGAGAGTAGGAAAGAGTATCTGGCTCCATATGGATTTCTCTTGTATTTATTATTATTACCAACAATGATTGTTGATCTTGAAGAAGGCCAGAGGGTTGAAACGTCATCAGCTCAATAAAAGAGAAATGCATATGGAGCCAGAGTGTGCAACACTTTCTTTCCTACTTCAGTTTCCAGTGATCAGCACCTCTTGGTGTGCGTCACAGTAGTGACTAAAATGTTGAAAGCAAAATGTGAATGGCCTTGCTAAAGCGGCAATAATTAGGTTTTCTGTGGGTGCTGAACTCCACACACATTTGAGTCAATTTGAGTAATACAAGTGCAATGCAACTGCATTTTTTCATTGATTTCAAAGGGAATCCGACCTGATGGCAGGCATTTCGTATAACTATATAGAAATAGCTGATGGCCTTGTTTGTTTATGGAGGTCAAATAGAGCTACAGCAATTAGGAGTATGGTATCAGTATACGTCATAAGCACGCATTGACAGTATTTGTGTAATTACTCTCACTGCCACAAGGGGTAGACAAAAGTTCTGCACTGCAGGTTT